CCCCCCCCCTTGGATCCGCGCCTGGTTAGTACTCATTCAATAACATTTTTATCCTACACATACATTTTAAATACTGGCATTTAAATTGTATTTTTTTCATTTAATACTATATTTTTGAATTTTTTTAAATGTTTGCTTTTTTAACACACAATTCATTTTTTTGGCATATTTTTTTTGCATAGTTTTTAATTTTGTAGTGTATAAAAATTTGTATATTTAATAATAATTTGTGCATAAAAATCCACGCACTTATCATAATATATATATATATATATTTAAATATAAAACAAATATCCATCCCATAAAAGCTTTTTTAAATTTAAAAAAAAATTGATGGAATATAACACATTACACTTATTCCTTAATAATGCAGTTACATAGAAAACCAAAACAATTTTGTATTAAAATATGTAGTTTATCATTAATTTATATTTTATTTTTCTACAGACTTTTGAAAACTTTTGTGAATTGTATAATTCTCTATTTTGACCTCTCGAATACACCAACTATTGATTCACTTTCCCACAAAAAATAACTGAAATTTAAAGTCAAAATATTGTTTCGAGAATATATCATGTTCACTAACACAACAAATAAAAAAAGACACGCACATCAGAACAGAATATAAGACATTAAAATATCACAGCAAATAAGCCCAATATAATTTTATATAGATGTTCGAACGCGGCTGAACTTCCCGCCGTATCTACCTAAGTCCAAAGGCTTTACAAGTCTCGTGATCGGCATGTATATAATATGTATACATATTCATACTATACAACTAAATTTATACAATATTTTAATTGCCAAGTTATTTTTTAGCATTTTTGTCCGATTTCCAGAATCTAGTTGCTAGTTCCAAATTTTTCTAATCGATAATTGTTACTTGTGCTGGAAAAACATTAATATAATAATATCGTCTATGTCTCATGGTTTTATGCACATAATCTATTAAAATAAATCCGTGTACAAAATTATTTTATTAAGAAAATTAACAGAAATGTTTGTTTTATTAAAGAAGGTAATTATCATTTTTATTCTTATATTAATATTCAATTACACGCGAAAATTTTTAATATATTTTTATTTGATAGATCATTTTTCAATCAACTGTGAAAAGCTAAGTTATTTCAATTGCTAACTCAACTAGTTAAATTAAAAGGTTTATTAGAAAATAAACTAACTATGGAAGTTCAAAAGTCAACTTTTCAACAAGATAATACACACCTTCACTGATATGGATACCCTAATTTTGAAATTGCAATAAAATAAAAATAAACTATTTAAAAAAAAAAAAGCTACAATTTCATTAGTTCAGCATTATCCATATATTTATTGAACTTAAAGGTTTACGTTCTAATACGTTTTCAAAAGATGTTCTAAAATCTATATTGTTGTGTACTATTTTTTTTATTTGACAATTCGTTACAACTTCAAAGATATTTTTGACTTAACAAGTACATTTTAATACTATACAGAGGGATCCAACAAGTATTCTCACCCCCTTTTATTTCTTTAATAATGAAGTTTTTCAAAATGTGATTTTTGGAATCTTTAAATATACTCAAAGACCATATTTTCATATTCTTGAGATTTTTTAACTTAAGGAGTGTCCTGTGGTGATACAAACCTTGGCTTTTTAAATGACAACCCCAATTATTTAACGGATAATTTTTTTGAGAATTTTGATGTATGGAAATCAAAATTCGAACAAGTGGTTTCCTAGTGATTGGACAATTTGTACTAAGGATAATAGTCCATAATAGGGGTATGCTCATACAGTTCTACACATGGAATAAGAAATATAACTGAATAAATTAAGAAGGATTTTACCTGCAATTTATCTAAGTGTTTGACTAAATAAATATAAAATGACGTATTATTTTATATTATGTGTAATGTGTATAGACTATAGGTAACAACGTATTCTGTATAGTCATATCCTTCTTCTCCATTATAAATTATATTATGCTTAGCACAAAATGTGAAATAACTAGAAAGCTACTCGTTTGAATTTTGATTTCAATGCATCAAAATTCTCAAAAAAATTATCCGCTAAGTAATTTACAGTAAAAAAGTGGGGTTGCCATTTGAAAAACAAAAGTTTGCATTGATTATTTGCATATAATAGTTACATCAATTTCTGTATAGTTAGGTTAGGTACGAACTACATTAACTACTGATTTTCTTTTATAAACTTTCTTACAATAAAAATTTATATTTTTCAGATAATGGCTGTACATATAAATGGAGAATTTTTTTAGAACCTGAAACTGATGATCCAGAAATGTACTAATATCAAGACCTAACTCAAAGCTACAAAATGCAAATGGAAGTCGAAAATATAGAATTGTTTTTATAATGTAAAAATATTGGAGTAATTATTTAAAACTACATTATTTGACTCTGAAATTTCAAAAAACTCATTTTGTCAATACATTTTGTAAAACTATAACCTCTTTTATTTACTGCCCCCATATATTCAACTTGGCTCAAGCACTCATAATTTGTTAGTGGAGTATAAATTGGGTTTAATATTGCATCAGAATGAAGAATATAAATACAATATTTTTTGTTAATTACAATTGTTGTATTGTAAGACTTAGAAGAAAATATGCAAATTCTAACTG